CTGTACATCTGTTCTTGTTTTTTAAACTACACTGTACATCTGTTCTTGTTTTTTAAACTACACTGTACATCTGTTCTTGTTTTTTAAACGACACTGTACATCTGTTCTTGTTTTTTAAACGACACTGTACATCTGTACTTGTTTTTAAACTACTCTGTACATCTCTACTTGTTTTTTAAACTACACTGTACATCTGTACTTGTTTTTTAAACTACACTGTACATCTGTACTTGTTTTTTAAACTACACTGTACATCTGTTCTTGCTTTTTAAACTGCACTGTAAGTCCTGACTCATTTTAATGTATACTGAGTAATAGGCATTACCTAGAAAACTTTAGACATTATTTAATAGCTATATCCAGAGTTTTGTTTCTCACCAATGCTATAAGAATGATTAATGTTGTAATAACCACCTTGCATAACCTTCTTTGAGGTTAAAGCCTTCTGCCATATGTTGTTTTAGTTTATCATTCTCTGCAAAACTATAGCATCTTCAATACAATTTGAAATAACCATTAATTTAATACCATCTGTAAACTTATGTTACTGGTTATTCCATCATTAATGCTGTAAATGAAAATTAAAAACAGTAAAGGATCTAACACAGAACTCTCAGCTACACCACATGAAACATTAATCTGCTTTGCCTTCTTCTCTATTAGCATCCTTTTGCCTTCTACCATTCAACCAACTCTCAAACTATTTATTATCTCCTGCCCCAACAGATACAAGAGGTCTCTTCTGTGGTGCCTTATCAAAAACTTTCTGAAAGTCAAGTATATAAGATGGAAAAACCTGAAGCACAGTTGATAAATCTCACTTTACATGTACACAACCACTGATGAAGATCAGTAAGTAAATTTATAGTATTGATGCATTATCTTTTTTATCATACTTAATGGTGGGAATGGTTGGACAAGGGGAACCAAATATAAAATTTGGAATGAAAGGAGTAATCCTTCAGCAGCTAAGACACAGTGGTTGGTTTTTGGAATGGATTTTCTTCAGATATGGTGGATGGAGTATATTTAAAGGAAGGCTTGATAAATATTTGAATGATGAGGGCTAGTTTTCAGCATCTTATTTTTATCTTAAAGTTTAGTATAGTGGATGTTCTTGTTTTTTAAACTACACTGTACATCTGTTCTTGTTTTTTAAACTACACTGTACATCTGTACTTGTTTTTTGAACTACACTGTACATCTGTTCTTGTTTTTTGAACTACACTGTACATCTGTTCTTGTTTTTTAAACTACACTGTACATCTGTTCTTGCTATTTAAACTAAATATAAATATTTGAATGATGAGGGCTAGTTTTCAGCATCTTATTTTTATCTTAAAGTTTAGTATAGTGGATGGGACAACCTATATGATCCAACAGATCTATTGTTGTCCTTAAAGTACATGTTATATCTGTACACATTTCACACAGAGTTTAATGTGCAAAGATAATTCTTTAAGATATTATTTTAGAAAGATGAAAAATGACTTAAAAACCAAGTTTATAAATTCTGTCTAATTGCTACAGTAACCTGAAACAATAAAAAAATATGCATTTGTTCAATATAATGACTCCCAGAACTTCATATGGCAAGAGTCATAACAGATATTATATGCAATAGTAAACAATTCCAGTGTTATAAATTGTTATCAAATTGTTTTTGCACACAGGGTTACTAAGATATGTATTTATAGATAACAAATGTAAACTTGCAACTAACCAAGAATAATGGCCTATTGACCTTTAAACTTTAGTGACAAAGTTTAAAACAATACAAGTAGGTATAAGAAATACGTAGGTAAGATATATATATTTGTTGAAAGTTTTTGTTGTTTTTTATATAATAGACTTGCCTTTGTTCCACAATCATAATCCTAACAATTTGACTGGAAAAATATGTCCAGTATTAAAACCATTTTGGTATTAGTGATATTTAAAATGATGCCTGGCTGAACAATAAATGTTACTAGCAGTGATTGTAAAGAATTTTTTGACGAAAAAACGTTATTTACAAATACTTGAAATAGCCAAAGTGAGTGAAAGAAGACGCAAATATGTGTTGATGGTTTCAAGATCATCCCAGAAACTTCGACGAATATTGGTGAAACTGTACGTTTCACTTACCTCTAATGTTATGAGCTTGTTTATAATCTTATCCTTTAAGTTTAAAATTAAAGATAAAACATTGTTCTATTAATTAGTCCTAAATTTTACATGAAAACCATGCTGTATTACAAATATAAAGACTCCGAGGAGTAAATGAGTTTACTCTATGCTTACCAAATGACTTGCGCTGGTGTCTTTCTTCTCTACGGTCAAGTCAACGAAGCCAGTCAGTATATGATTTTCAAAATTTACCTCCCAATCGATATGAATTCCAATAACAATACATTCTTCCGGACGTGAAAATGAATTTGGATCGCTGGGGCTAAGTGCTTCCATTTTGATAATAGTAACAGTCAAGTTGTTTTCGAAAACTTGTATGTTCAAACCAAACGTTTGTTACAATAATCCAAACTGTTCCTACCAAACAACGTTATATGAGATACAATACCTGAAATACCGGTATTATCTTATCACTTGAATGCTGTTAAATATCACATGGATTCAACAGTGACCTCTATTGCTGACACATTACAAAAAAAAAAAAACAAAAAAAAACGAAAATATTGTGATTGTAATTTCAAAGAGTTACAAATCAAATATATAATTATATGCGTCTCACATTAGAAAGAAAAAAAAACATGCTGCAATCTTAAAATCACAAGTAAAGGCTAGAAAACCTTTGCACAGTGTATTTTGTGTATGTGTATGTGTGAATTGTATGAATGGTACTTACATTATAGATGATTTAGACATAATATCTTTGATGAACAAAGACAAAACGGCGAAAATCTGTTCTTTTCGATTCTATAAACTACATCTTTGTTTATTTTGGCAACGACATAGAGTTATCTTAACATATATTTAATTTTGTAGACAGCCGTATTTTGTAGTGTGTACTGTACAGCCATGTACAGTCACAACGATGAAATACAGTCTTTTCAGCGTTTATATTGTTATAGTGATTTTCGTCTTATCACTAGATGGTGTCTTTCTCTGGTTAAAGTCATGTATGTGTTCCTTAGTTTCTCCACACGTGTGTGTGAGACTCTGAGTGACTATTCTCTGGATGTGAGTACAGAAGGCCCAATCCAACTTTAAGTTCTCTCCAGTATGTTACCAGTGGCTTCATGTATTGCTGTTCTATAACTAATAAGTAGGAGTGTTAGATTTTCACGTTTTATGATGTTCATTTACTGATTTAAAATTGTAGGTTGTATACCTCCAACATTTAATTGGAAGTTGGATGAAGGGCTATTATCCTGAATGAAGTCCCAAATACATTGAAAAGCTTCCTTACTCAAGTTTTTGCTTCCTGGTTCAGAATAGCATGTGCTTCTAGCCATTTATGAAAGAGTCCATCATTACCAAGATGTATTTATTCAGTCTTTTGCTCTATTGTAGATAACCACCCACAATAACAGCAGGATTGGCATGACCTCGTAGTTTGTGTGATCAATTTGCAATTTGCAGATGTGGGTTTGAATCCCGTCATCGAACATTCTCGTCTTTTCAGTGGTGGAGTTATAATGTGAGGGTCAGCCGCACTATTCGCTGGTAAAAAGTAATACAAGAGCTAGTGTTGAGTGATGTTGCTTAGCTACCTTTAATACAGTCTATCACTACTAAATTAGGGATGGTTAGCACAGATAGCTCGCGTGTAGCTTTGAGCGAAATTCAACAAACAGAGAAACAAGACAAAAAGAAACTTCAAAAGCAACTCTTCCAACACGATACTGCTGTAGTGCCTACGTCTACTTTTCACAGACCATATTCCTTACAACACTGTTCAGATAAGGTTTCTCCTTCTGATCTTAATATAGTGTTACTCTACATCTGTCAGTTACTATGGTATCTGCAGTTTCACGTGGCCAAGAAAGACGTTAAGTTGGTTCCATTCTAGCTGCCTTTGCTCCCTTTTCATGTTCTTGAGATAACACCTGGTCTGCCCACAGGGAAAGGGTATGGATGTACTTTACGTAATACTTCAGACACCAGAGTCCACTAATCCTTCAATGGTAGGACAGGTGATATCTCGAGGTTACAATGACTAGTTACTAGTTACTAGCTACAACGACTAGTTACAATGAGTTGTTGCTGTGAGTAAGTCTGATGTTAAGTATACTCGAGTCAGGTACATACTCTCGAGTGAGAAAGTTTGGTATACAATATCCAGAAAAGTAGGTAGCTGATCCGGTAAAAGCAACTATCTTTCTTTCAGCCAAGCAAGCACACACACTGTGTTTGTGTTATGATAAAGATTGTATATTTGTATTTTACATTGTGTCCAATCTCTTTATTTCATTATAACGAACTCAGATATTAATATAAATTCTGAACTACTTTGTAATAGATATCTTGTCAAACATCCTGTTATTCAGCACATCACTATTAAGGAGAATCAGTTTGACCTGAATATGCCATGCTCTGCAGATAAACTTTTTATTAGAAACCTCCTTCTGATGTGACATTTCAAGTCGTTTTGTTAAGGTGGCTGATAGGTGTTACAGCACTGTTGGAAAGTTACTTAATCTCGTTAAAGCTGGTCCTTTAAATGAGCAGCAAGATCAGTAGCTTGATGTTAACTCTTCCATCCATTCACTTTGGAAATTATTTCAAACTGTGTCTGATATGCCTTCTGAAGTACCTGATATATTTGTGATGATACAGTAATATAGCTAGAGTAGTTCAGAAAGATTCAGCAGTTATAGATAGCACAACAGTAGTACTAACAGGTGAACGTAAGATGGGGTTTAATATTCCAAACGAAATAATTAATATGTTTGTGGCTCGAATTCTTCAGCAGATAAACAGAAAGGTGTGGATGGTTTGATCTTTGCATATACCAGATCAACTATCCAATGTTTATCGTGAGGTTGATGCTCATTGATGTATTTTTGCACTCCTTCTTTTCTTCATTGATCGTTTCCTAAACTTTTAAGAACGTTTTTAGATCGAAGACAACAAATATATCTGTAAGGCGACAATAATATCTCATGATTCAATCAACTGGAGGCTGGCTACGAAAACCATACGTCTTTGTAAGGCCCCACTCATATCTCATGATTCAATCAGATAGAAGCTGGCTAGAAAGACAATATATATCTTTGTAAGGCGACAATCATATCTCATGATTCAATCAACTAGGGAGACCACTTATTGTTTGAATGTATTTCTGTTATGATAATTACACATAAAATATCTAACCAAACTTGAACAGTGTCCTGATAATCTGACATTCAACTAACCAAGATAACCTCCAACATGTTCAAAGTAATCGGTAAAACTGGATACTATATTTATGCTACATACGAAGAAGACCCTTCTAATTCTTTAAATGATGCCCAGATTAAACAATCAGCAAACAGCTACTGAACGTTTACTCGAAATTTAGGTAATTGAACTTAATTTAAACTTTTACACTCAACTCTGAATACTTATAATGTCTTTCTCATGATGTAGTAACACAATTTTATTATGTCTTTCTCGTGATGTTGTTACACAATTTTATTGTCTTTCTCATGAGCACATGTGTGATTTGACATGCATTTTCTTTGCATATAATTGAACACAATAAACGTTCTGAGGTATCACACTGCATGAATCGAACCTATAATTTTAGTCTTATAAGCTTTCAACCTTACCGCTTGTCCACCAAGGGATAGCACAATAACAAGAACTAGTTTTCTAGCCTGCTTTTAAAAATGCGGTACACATTTTAATTTAAATAAATAACATACTGTAGAAGTCGCTTCTAGTCATAAAATTTTTATTGCAATGAAAAAGCAAAAATCCTTGCCTGGGACTTTTAAAATAGTTCTTTAAAAATAGGGGTCCCGAGAAGGTCTTGGTGGGCCTCAACATAAACAGAAATATTATTTTTAAAACATACCTGACATCAGAAAAAAACTATTGTTACAACAGCGGAAGTCACGTGACGCTGGTAACACGTGATGAGATTCTAGAAGGATCATGAATTGTCCTGGCAATTCTAGTCGGTACCAGGCGCCCTCTTCTTTTTGTATATAAACCCAGCAAACAAAGTGGAGAGGGGGAATTGGATAGATAGAGAGATTAAAGATAAAGATAATCAAGTCAAGCCATAAGTAAAGTGTGTGAATTATAGCGTGTGTTTATAAAAATAGTTAAGTTTAAAGTGACTGTGGAAATTAAGTGTAGTACAAAGTTTGTAATGAGAAAGTATAAACTAGTTTTATTTAAGAAAGGACTTGCATCGCTGAAGTTTATCAGAATGAATTTCTATGGGAAATTACCAAACGAGCAGAGATGTAACACATTATTATTTTCAACAATTGTTTTCCGAATTGAAGAGAAACTCATGGCATGAGTTTGTGTTTGCTATAAGAAAATTGATTTATCAGTTTAAAATAATTAGAAAAATCATCAACTGGACTAGGAGAAAAAAATATAGAAGAAATAGCTATGAAAAGCAAGTCCTAGCTGGTTATTAAGTTGAGTTAACTACTAAAAACTTTTGCCAGATTATTTAATCTATGTTGTTTGAATAACTTTGTGTATGTAAGAGATTACCCTACAGAGGTGGCAAATCAAACTACAACTTAGCAGGTTTGATGGTAGCAATACAAGAACAACAAAAGAAACAAGAAGAACGAGAAAAAAACAAGAAGAGAGACCACAGCAGTGGTTGGAGGAGAAAGAAAAGAAACAAGAAGAACGAGAAAA